GTGTGGGGAGGGTCGCTGGCGGGGGGGAGGTCAGCAGAGAGAAAAGGGTTGTGGGGAACGCGCAGGAGGGAGGGTGTGAGGGAAACCGGGCGCTGCCGTCTCTTTCTTGGTGGCCAGGCTGCCCTTAGGCGGCTGGTAACTTCAAGGATCCGTGGGGACCAGCTGGGGTTGGATTTATGCGTTTCTGTCTATAGTTGGAAGTACCCGTGTGGGGTACTTTTGTTTGTTGGCGTTCTAAAATAAATATAATGCTTTGCGGAGAAGGTACTGAAAGCCTTACATTCATCTAGTGGAGAAATGTAGTTCTGAAGCAACGTAGTTATTAATTTATAAGCTCTGCGCCCCTGCTAAGGCCGGTGTGTTTCACCTAAATAATGCTCTGCGGTTCCTGCCAACGGATGGGCCGTACTTGAGCTTTTCTTTTGGATGCGATTGATGGTCTTTGAGGAACTGTGTTTTCTTCTCGTATGGGAGTCTCTGACTTGTGGAGGGAGCTGGTGTGAGGGGAAGCTTTCAGCCTGTCAGTAGTCTGTAGGAATTCTGGTGTAGCTTAAGCTCTAAATCGGCAGAAACCGAAAAGCCCAAGACTGTAAAATTACCTTTGCTAGCTTGGGGGGGGACAGAGAGGAAGAGGAGTGGTAGTAAAACACATTCATCCGAGACTGGGCTTTTAGCATTGATTGTAATTCTGCAGGTTGGGATTAGTTTGAGTTGCTGAAACAAGTTACTTGAACACAGCTGGTTCCAATTCTTGTTTTGTTTTACTGTTTTCTGTGGTCTCTGGTATTGTTACTAATATTAAGTTTTTAACTGTTAATTTATTGTTACAGAAAGCCTAAAACTAAGAGAGCAAAAAGATTTCTTGAGAAGAGAGAGCCCAAACTTAAAGAAAATACAAAAAATGCTATGCTCATAAAAGGAGGAAATGCAAACTTAACAGTGACTGAAGTGCTTAAAGACATTGTAAGTTGTTGGATATAGTATGCAATCTTTAATTATATAATCTTTTGTGCTACACCAAGAGTATCTTCCTTTCTCTTTTCCTTACAATTTGCACATTCTCTGCTGCGAGATCAATATTTTCATATTCTCCCCATTCCCCAAATCTCAGATTGACCAGTACTCCAAAGGTGTTGTTACTTATCCCTCGACAGAGATTATTTTCTTCCAATTTCTTATTTGCCAGAACTTTTGAGCTTATTCTCTTTGTTATTATTTTTTCCACGATTGTCCAGTATATAACATGAAGTGCTGCAAGTCCATTTGAATACAAGGGGATTAGGTACAGAATTGGGACTGGATCACTAGGCTGAAGTCATATCCCAGAATCCTGTAAACTGATATGGAGCTTTCAACCTCTCCTAAAACTTAAACTTACCAATCCTGTCTCCTAACTCTATACTGGAAAATATTATAGCTGTTCTTACACTCTTTTCTCTTCTTGCTTTGTCATTTTCTTACCATCTTATGCTGATGATAATCAGGTGGTTGTTCATTCCCTGTTTTTCCTCATGCCCCTAGAAGCAGAGAGATTCCATTGCATGGCTTTGATTTCAGCTGTGTCAGTTATTTTTTCCTTAGTTTCTAGAAACAAGTCCTTCTGTAATTAATCGGGAACCAAGATTGTGACCAACTTGAAGGATATTATTGTGAGCAGGCCTTTTGAGGTGCCTTCTTCTAGAGTCATTTGCACAATTACTCTAATTCCTATGATCATATGAGTTGTAGGGTTTTAGAAAAAGCAGTGCTGTGCACTTAAATGTATTAGACATAAAACCGGTTTAACTTTTTCTTTTGCAGTATGCTGTGAAGAAGCCTTTTGCTGTACTGTATAAAAAGTAAGCAGTCTCACTTTGACATCTTTTGAGTCTTCTGACAGGACAGCTTTTGGTAATTTCGAATCATGAATAGAGATGCTGGTTAGCGCGGGAGTTTGAACAATGGAAAGGGTTGCAGAAGGTGACTGAGATTCATCATAAATTTGAGTAGACTGGAAACAAGCTATGCATGATCAGTGTTGGTGCTGAGCACAGTTCTGTGCCAAGTGTTATAGAGCAGGATTCAGCTCACTTGAACAGTCGGCTTCTCTGACTGATCTGTGCAAACAGCTAGTGAGGTTCTCTGTCAGATGGGTAGGCTAGAGTTCTTATATCCAAAGTCTTACAAGTCTGAGTTACAGATTATAATGATAGATATGTCTTGCTCAAAATGGGAACACAGTATCTTTACAGATGTAGTGCAGAGACATTAATTGTAATAGCTAAATTTAATGTTGGATGAACAAGCAAAGGCAGTTGTTCATGAAGTGTTGCTGGTGGTGATCTGGAAGTCGGGCACCAGGAGACAGGAAACATGGAGTAAAGCACTTAAAACGGCAATGGCAGCACTAAGGAACTTCTGGCAGTATTAATATGGCTTATGGTTTGAACTAGAACTGAACCCCTACGGCTGGAGTTTCCAGCAGAATGCAGATTTTTAATGTTAACAGAGAACCAATTAGAAGTGCTTATCTGGGCCTGTTCTCTTTTTTTTTTAATTTTTATTTTTATTTTTTTTTTCCCTCCTCTCAGGAAAAATATTACTAGGCCTTTTGAGGATCAAACATCATTGGTAAGTATAAACTACGTCTTCTCTTGTGACATTTTATAGCCATAAAGTCATGAAAAGCTTTATTGGTGGATAATTTGCTGAATTCATAGGTTAAAATAGTTAAATGGAGGGATCATAGCTTTCTGTGAGTTCCTTGTGTTTGAGTAGATGAAGAAAAGCCCAGCAGAGTACTACATGCATCAGCTGTACAAGTGTGAGACAGTCACCAAGAGTTCTGCTCAGACAAGAACTGTCAGAAGAATGCACAATTTCAGTTAGAGATGGGTATTTGGCTTGCAAAGAGGTTGCAAAAGTGGGTCTCCAGAGGCTTGGAGGGTATTTTGGAAGGGGGTGTGTGTTTGGAAATACACTTGCTGATATGCCCCTGTCTGGATTTGGTGTTGATTCAGTGCTTTAAGGTCAAGATAATTTATGAGCAAGAAGGCAAAAAAAATAGGCTCATCCTAAGATTCTCTCTCACACGTTTGCACTTCAATTGAAGCATTACTTTAACTGTTGAAATATATCTGTTGTAAAAGCAGTATACATATTTCCTTCAACAAAATGAGAGAAAGGGGATAGTGATGCACAGCTGTGGTTTTACGATAAAGATAAAAATTAATTATCCCAAAATAAGTTGTTTGGTTCCCAGTGATCGTGATTTAGTAATGTTTGCTCTGTGCCACTGCTGACACACAGGGAAATAAGGGTCAGATTTCCAATGTGTGAGGCAGTTGTTGAAATAACTCACTGAAAATACACGTTGAAGTTGGGAATTTGGGGGTATTGTATTAAGTAAATCTGTGTGTGAATTTAAAAAAAACAACTCGTGTATACACACCAGGCACAAATGCACTTTCCTGTCTGAAAGGGATTGTGAAAATAGAGGGGAAATGTATCTAAGGAATTATCTGTTAATAAAAAGGGAGGGGAGGAGAGAGATAGCTAAGTATCCTTAATGATCATTAAGGATCTTTTTTATAAAAGTGAAGGTAGCCAATAGTGAGTGCTAGAGGAGTTGCTGAAGTTGTATTGGACAGCTGAGTTAAAGCATTTTTAATGTGCGATGCTGAGGTGTTGTAGTGTGTGCTTCTGCTCTGTTCTTGGCATGAAGCACAGTAGTGCCACCATCCCTAAAATATTGTGAGTGGAATGGAAAACTTATTGTAGGCAGCAAGGAAAGATTTGTGACATTATTTGCTGAAACTAAACCTCTTACAATCCCATAGCTGGATGACTTGGTTTCACAGTCATACGGGAACTAGCTGATCATCAGCTGACCATTGGTTTAAATTTCTGATAATTTCTGGGAAAACATGGTAGCCGAAATCATTCTGGTATTTTAAAAGGGGGTCCTTCAGGGACTTTAATTCTTGTAACCTCAAAACAGTGGGCTTGGGTCATTGAGAACAGTGTCAACAGATAATCAGGCTCTAGAAAGGTATGGAAAGTCAGATCAAGCTAGGTTTGGTTTTTGGTTTGTCTTTTTGTTTTTGTTTTTTTTAACTTGCTTACAGGCATTTTTTTAAAATGGCAGTTTTGCAATGTATGTGATGTTGCAATATACGCAGGACACATTTGAGGCATTTGAGTTTGTTGCATCTTTTTAATAAAATATCATACAGCTGTTAGAGAATTTACATATATCAACACGCAGTGATTAACAGAGCTGTATGAGCAAGTGTTTCAAGGGGATGGTTCTGTTCTTGATCTGTCTACAGTCAGTATTTTTCAGGGACCTGGTGGCAGAGCTCAGTGCTGAGCTGTGTGATTTCTACGTGCTTAGGATTGCTCCTGGGGATGTCTCTTCTGACCTCGCAGAAGGGCAGAGCTGCAATGTCCTCTCTGAGCTGCTGCTGTTGCCGGGGTAGAAGGAGATGCAGTGGCTTTTTCTGCTTCACAGCTGCTAAGTGCAGGCACAGAAACTGGTACTTCTGGGATGTACTGGATAAATAGCATGTGTGTTTATCTAAGACCTATGGTTGATACACAGAATACGGGGCTGCCTTGAGAAGCAGCAGTGCATAAAAAGGCTTTGGAGTTGGACATTCTCGGAAAGAATTGCTGTAATGTTGGTTCTGGATATAATACCATAATAGGTTCTCCGTCTACTCCACCTAGAGGAAAGATATTCTCTGTGAAAGTCACCACTGGCTTGGTTTTAAGTAACATCTTAGTCTTAAATAATAAATTGACGTGAAGTTGCTCTGTAGCAGGACTCTCGTGCCCAAGTGTGAGAACGTTAGTTATTTGCAGATGTTCCTAGGCTTGCTGTTGAGGGAATTAACTGGTTGTTCAGAAGCTATTAGGCAAAGCTAATATGCTGCATAAAGCTTAGCTGGGTAACTAAAATGAGGCATTACAACTGCAGCCAACTTGCAAATACTTACCCTTCAGGCAAGGAGAAGTGGTTGAAAGTATCTTATTTAAAAACAAATAATGAGGAATTATGGAAAAGGGCATTACAGATAAAATGGCAAGAAAAAACTGCCTGGCTTGATCTTTAAGACTGCGATGGGAAATTAAAAGAGAAAGGAATTATTTGAACCTTGAATCCAGCTGTCCATTTTAGCTTATGTGGACCTGGACACGCTCAAAACTCTTCTGGTAAGTGCAGTTGCTCTTCTCATTAAGCAGCTCCTAACTCATGTGTTTGTGACATATACCTTCACCAAATACTTTAAACACTACAAACTGCAGCTCATGAGTTTTGTTCTTTTCCTCAAATGTAGGAATTTTTTTCCAAGAAATCAGATTGTTCTTTGTTTCTGTTTGGCTCTCATAACAAGAAGCGACCTAACAACCTGATAATAGGTAAGATGTCTCACTTGGGTTTTTATTCGGATGAAAGGTCTAGTTTTCAATGAATATTTAAACAGTTGGGATTTCCTTTTTTACTTTTACAGGTCGCATGTTTGACTATCATGTCCTAGACATGATTGAGTTAGGCATTGAGAAGTTTGTATCCCTAAAAGATGTCAAGGTAAGGACTCACAAAGTCAGTATTTCAGTGACATCTACTGGTGGATTTTTTTGGTGCATTGGCTTTTTCTGTGCTTTGAAGTAAGGACAGGGGTTGTTTAAAAAAGCCTTTCATGCAGTATATGAGGATTTCTAATTTGTGTACCCTAGAATATTATTTTTATGCTCTGCTTTTTATTTTATTTTGGTTGTTTTGAGCAAGCTTGCAACTTTCTTTGCAAATTCTTTTTTTAGACTTGGTTTATTCCTAATATTTTCCTTTTAAATTAGAGTTTCATTTACAAAATGCCTTCGGTTCTGCTCATGGTAGGTTCCTATATAAACTGGTGCAGGCTTTGAAAACTGAAATCCCACTTCTCAAATTGTAACCAAAGGCAGTCACTCTGCTGACTGAGATGATTCTGAAACTTTCTTTCGCTTTCATTAGCACATAAATGCCAGTTTTCAGGGAACTATGCTTAATTCAGACAGGGAGGTAACATCTTGATTATTTTAACCCGGAGAAAAGTCACCTTTTATGGCTATGTTAGGCTCATTTTAGCAAGAATAAAACATATTTCGTGTGTGTGTAATTTTGTATCAAGCAGTTCATACACTGCAAAAATAAGGAATTTTTCTGGTCCTTATTCTCATCACAGTATATAAATTGGCAGGACAGTCTAGAGGGATAGTGAAGAAATTACGGTTTGTAAAGGTGAATCTTCCCCTTGAAGTCAGATTGTAGTGTGTATATTCATAACATTGTTTATAGCAGTGAAGTTATAGTTAAGTAAATGTATTTGTTGGCCAGAATTAAAATTAGGTGAGTGACTAAACTATTCCTTTAGTCTTTTTCATGTACTTTGCAGTGTCAGAAGTACAATAGACTTGTTTGCCTCTAACTTTAGTTTTCTTGTTAGTAGTTGCAGTCAAATTCGCTTGTTTTCACTGGAAGGTGTTATCTTATACATTTTATAGTAAAGAATCTCTCTTTATTAATCCAGCACAAAGAATAATACAATTCACCCTTTTAAAAACAAAGTCCTTCCATACACATACAGTGCTGTTCAATGAAAAAAAAAAAGGTGTCTATTCTGTCCATATTGATCACAAGTCACAATAATTTTTCATTCAGTGTTGAATGGCTAACCGCCTATTAGGTCAATAATATGTTCCCTAACACCGTCTGAATTTTTGTTCTGTTTTAAAATTCTTACTCTGCAGAACAGTAAATGTCCTGAAGGAACAAAACCGATGTTGATATTTGCTGGCGACATGTTTGAAGTAAATGAGGAATACAGAAGACTGAAGAGCCTTCTTATTGGTCGGTATTTTGATTATTTCAGCAGTAGGATTGCATAAATCTGTAGTAATATGATTCCTTGGGAAATGCTGGTTTGTCAATAAATGTTTGCTTTTGTTCAGCACAGAAGGAGAACAAGTACATGCACTTGTGAGTTTCATGTCGCATGAAATTAAAGTTAACTAATGATCATGAACGTTAGGGGGGAAAAAAGACTAACCTAAAAGACTCTGAAGTTGAAACTTTGTGTTCACTAAAATTCGTGACTTTGTAGGAAAACTAAAAGTCTTTACCTTGTAATTGTACTGGATCATCACTTTTCTAACCAAATATTTTTGAAGTATCTAATCTGAAATCAGTGGATTAATTCAGAAAGTGGGATATTTTTGCTTACAAAAAAGTCAAATCAGTATAACTGAGCTTGTGTTTTTATAATGAAAGCATTTTCTGTTGCAACTTGACCAATTCTGACAAAAGTGCCATTGATTAGAGTACTTGAACATGTGCAGTAAAAATCAGTTGTAGATAATAGCTGTGTCATAACTTCACGGCAGGCTTGGAGCTTAGTAAACAAACTGGTGTAAAGTTTTTTACTATGTCAAGGTTGGAGGCTCTGGAAGAAAAAGCACAATGTGGTCTTTTTCTGAGAAACTACAAAAAATTACACTTTTCTTAGGGTAGCTTTTGGTGACATAGAAGTCATATGGTACTGTATCTCTTGACATGTAAAAAATGCATCTTGCTTGGTAGAACTAGATCTAGTAGGTAGGGTTGTGTGTTTTTTCTTTTTAATAGGCTTCCTAAAAGTAGATTTTTATTTTTTTTTAAACCTCTCGTGAAATACTGAAACTGGCCCAATAAGAACAGTATTGTTCTTTCAGTTCCGTTCTTGGGTTGTACCAGTTCATAACTTTACAGCTTTGCAAGATCTCCCTGTCATGTAAAATAAGTATTGGTTGGGCTCTTTTTCTCTAGGCAAACAGATAAACGAATGCTTTTTAGAAAGAGACTTTAAAAATGAGATTTATTCCTCCCCTTAGTATTACAATTCCTTAAAGCAAGATGTTGCATCTGGAATGAGCCTGAAAAGGGAGCAGGAGAGGAGAACATTTGTATCCTCTCAGTACAGCTGGCTGGTTCTTGAGGATAGGTGAAAGGCTAGTAAGTGTACTTATAAACCTTTGAACGTGGGTGAATATTGAATACGAAGATAAGTGAGTTTTAATACTGCGTGTTTGTGTTGCTCTAAATGAATATTTACACTGTGGGAAGCAGGTGCATTACTTGCTGAAGTGTATCTTGTTCAGGCCAATCACAGTGTTGGTGATTGGCATCCAGATGTGCTCATGCACTCCATGATCAAACAGCTCGATACCTTAAATGGAAGACATGCATCGTTGGGTAGTTGCCAAATAACTAACTGATCTTTCCTATTTCTTTTGATGTTCATCTGTCCTTTCTCCTCTCCTATTTATTTGCCTTTAATGACTCTGTAGTCAAATGTACTCAAATCGACACCCAATCTTCTTGAATGTACTCCAAGTACTCCAGGTCTTAATGTTCTGCTGACTTCTATGAAATACCTAGATGCAAAACAACTTACAAAGGGAAAGGTTAAGAAGTGTAAAGGCTTGAAGGTATCACTAACCAATTAAAATCGTTTGGGTAATAATTTGACATGCTTCAAAACTGCCCTTAACTGATAGGGAAGAATTGATTTTTTCCTGCAAAAGATGGTGCTTTTAAGTTGCCAGTCTATTGGTAAGAAAGACAGAAAAATGTCTTTATAACAACAGCAGCAAATATTTTGTTACTGTAGCAATATTGCTGGGATCCCAGAAGGAATATTAGATAGCTAACAGCTTCTTGTTGCCAGAGCAATGTGATGCCAGTGATGCTGGTGAACAACCAAGCTTTCATTGGCTTTTGTGGTATCAAAAGGGTTTGTGCATATTTGGAATATCATCTTACAGCAGTTTCTTTGTAAAATTAAATGCAAGGGTGAATTATTGTCTTCACGGTAACCAAACCCTATAGTCTGCTTAAATTGTGAAGTGGAAGAAGTTATTTAGGAGCAATAAATAGCAGCTGCATTTTTCTTCAGGGACCTGAAAGACAAAGACATCCCATTCTTTCTCTTTTGGTTTTTGTTGCCTACTGATGTGGTAGCGTAGGAATTCATTTATGATGTAAGTCCTTGGAATGCAGTTCATGAAATTCTAATAACTTTTTATACTTGTATTTATAAAATGTTTCATTTCATACAACACTGCCAGCTTGCTAGTTCTGTTATTGCATACCCATTTCATCCTAAAAATGGCTAGGTGCTACGTGACTTGCTTATACACTTTTTAAAATGCTTGTTTCCAGGAGATCTCTACAATTTCAGATTGACCATCGGCTTGTTCTTCACACAGCCTTCCTCGCACAGACTTTTTTTGAGTGCCTCAAAAGATTTGTGGGTTCCTTTTGGCCAAGAAAGGGGATGGCTGGGATGGAGTTTGAACTCGGCTAATGCTAACCATAGCTACATAGGTTACAGTGTTACCAGCTTTTGGATATGAATTGATACAAAAAGAAGTGTATAGACTGGTGTCCCAAAATAATTTAGGAATTTAATCTGGAAATGGAAAGATCCTGTGAAGCTCTCTGCAGGAAAAAGTAAATTTAAAGTGCTGGAAACAAGTTGAGGACAAGGGGGAGAAAGAACTAGGAATGGAAAGAAAGGAGAAAGCAAGTCTCTAGTCCAACCAAAGCAAGAGTTGTAAATTAAGAGTACATTAAAAAAACTTCATCTCTCTGGGTATACTGAAGTGTACAGTTTCTGCAGCTGTTCAGCATTGCCAGGAAACAGAAATTTTTGACCACCTGCATTTGTTGGAAGAGATAATGCTGTGGGTAGAAGGATGTATGGTGCCACAGGAAAATACGAAAGGGAGATGTTGCCAATAAAACCACTGTAAATGTAAGCTTGTGTGCCCACAGAGAACTAGTCGAAGGGAAAATATATGCCAGAAGCGAACAAAGTACTGTATTTACAACTCTTCCTCTAACTACAAGCTCAACCCACAAGAGGAGAGAGTATTTAATTGACCAAGGACATTTCCTGGCTAGACTCCAGCTGATACCTGCCAGCAAGACTTTATTTTGGATGTCGCTCCAGTGCTGATACTCTTGAAAAGGGTAGTGGAGGAAAAGTCAACTAGCCAAGGGATCTGAAAATGGGACAGAACGGAAAAGACTGATGTGTTTTGCATGTTAGCAGTTCTGCTGTGTTTCAGCATTGCCCCGTCATGTTTATTAGCACACCTTGTTCCCTAAGTCAAGGTCACATTCCTTCTCCACCCTCTGCATATGTTGGACAGATTGCTGTGCTTATTGCAAGCTCTCTGCACAGTATTTTTGATAACCTGACAAAAGAACCTCACTAGAGATGGCTCATTTTGTATTTAACCTGTATTTCAGTGTTGTCTTTGCAAACTAAGCAAGTGTTTCAAGTGTCTTATTTTTATAGATATATGTTGCTTATTAAATAGAGAAAACATTAATTGTAATGATGAATACTGCTTTACATGGAGCACAGAAGTGCTTTGTTGTGGGGGAGGTTTGAAAGAAATGATACATCTAAACTAAAATTTTCCCCAAGTCAGAGAAAGAAAATGTAGGTAAGAGTAGACAACATACAGTTTCGATCTGTTTTGTACTGGGTTTGATCCTTCTTTGTACTCTTCCAAATCTGGCTCTGATTAAGAATGTTAAGTATCAGTTTTTTGAATGATGTCTTTAAACAGATACCTGAGCTAATGGTTTCTCTGTATTGATCTCTGTTTAGCTGAGCAGAACTGGCCTAAACACAAAATAAGATACATCTCATTTTTCTGACTTTAGAGCTGAATATTTAGAAGACTAGAAAATGCAATTATCCCAATTAGCTTAATAAAGCTAAGTTACAGCTCTGAAAGTATATTTGCTCTTCTCCGTGCACTTATTTTTAGGTAGCATGTATATTGCTACCAAATTATCTCTGGGAAGTCACTGTATTCCTGTCAGGATTTCCATACACGTTTGGTATCACCAGTGCAGGAGCAAACACATGCAGTGTTAAGTTTCTCTCCCATGTTTTGGCAGGGCTGCAGTTTTAAGTCGCAGCTATTTTGTGAGATTCCCGTTAAAACATACAGATTCAGCTTTTCTAGAGCCATCCCATGTATAGCCTTGCGTAGTTGGATGCAGTAAAGATACTTATGTAGGTAAGGAGCTTACATCAGTGATGTGATGTGTGTCCGTTATGAAATAAACCAATTTGTTACAGTCATCCGTAAGCAATTTGTTACAGTCATCTGTATGTTACAGTCATGCAGTTTCTTGTTGCCAAGAAACCTGGCAGTCATTCTTTTAAAACATTCTTTCAGATTTCTTCAGAGGTCCTAGCGTGCCCAATATTCGTCTGGCTGGTTTAGAGTACGTTCTGCATTTCACAGCTGTAGATGGGAAAATTTACATGCGAAGCTATAAGTGAGTATGTGTTTTATCTATTTGTTTGCTTTTTGGTACACTTGTCAACTTTCCCCCAAATTTAGCCTGTAGTTGTGTAATTGAACTGGCTTGAGCAATAGTTTGCTACATTTAAAACATGTACTGTGTAGAGGTGTTTCAGCATAACACAGAGTAACTTGTGCAGCAGAAGGAAAACACTTAAGCCCTAAACCTGCTGCTTCCTTCCTTGTTTGCTCCCCCTTCCAGTGAAGGGGATTGCTCGTTCATATGGCTGGATTAGTAAAGTGGCGTGAATTAACTGGGTGAATTCAGAGTACTGTCTTAGACTTCATAGACTTAGTCTGTTCTCAGGCTGACTTCTAGGACTCCCCTCACTGAGGGGCTTGTCAGAGAATGACAGGTGGTAGGCTGCAGCCAGCGATGCACACAGAGAACCAGGAAAAGGCAGGACAAGACAATCTTTCTTGCTGTGTTGGTGTTTACCCTCACAGTTCATGGCCTTGCCTTAGGAGGTTGTGAGCATTCACAGCTTGTGTTCATGCGATTTTGATTTGCCTTATAACAAAACCACTTTTATCAGTCTCATTCTTCAAAACAAATAAACAAAAAGCTTTCTCGGTTAGCACTCAGGTTATTTTGCTGTAAACAATAGTAAATATTTTTTGTGTCTGTTAATACCCAGGGCACTATTTTGAATTTGAGGAGTGATAGGGCTTTCGGGGTACTGGGACTGAGTTTTAACAGTAATACTGGTCTCATTTAAAAAAAAAAAAAAAAGTTACATTAGCCAGGTTATATTTTGGATGTGTTCAAATTGTGATGGGACAGATTTAATATATTATAAATTGTTATTGACAGGCATCTTTCTCAATAATAGAGTTAGCAGTAGCAATTGTTTTCAATAGCCTTCCGAACTACAGGATTGAACCTGCCTTTTAGGAAGACAGATAAACCTTTATCACAGAGGACAATGTTGATTTTGGTTGTTTTGCCCTTCTAGGGTGCTTCTGAAGAAGTCTGGCTGTAAAATACCAAGAATTGAACTGGAAGAGATGGGACCTTCATTAGATCTGGTTATGAGGAGGACACATTTAGCCTCGGATGACCTTTATAAGCTGTCTTTAAAACAACCAAAAGCCCTGAAGGTATGTACCTTGGAAAGTAGTTACTTCCAGATCTATCTGTGAATCAGAGCAAAAGCTGAATTATTAATTATTGTATGTCTGACCAAAGCTTACTGTTATTTAGGCCAAATGAGATTTCTGGGGCCACAGCACTCTTGCAGTGATCAGCTGGCATACAAACTCTCCCCTGGAAGCATATAGAACATACAGAACTTAATCTCTAAGCTCCAGACAATGTATGCGGCCTTGCTTTTAGGCACTTGATTCTCACCAGAGCTCTTGGCACTCTCTCCTCAGAAACACTAATGTTATTCTTCCCTTACAGCCTAAGAAGAAAAAGAATATCTCCCATGATGTGTTTGGTACAACTTATGGTCGAATCCACATGCAGAAGCAAGATCTTAGTAAACTGCAGACACGGAAAATGAAAGGGTTAAAAAAGAGGCCAGCAGAGAAGTCAACTGAAGATGGTGGGGTTAGTCCCAAAAAGTCAAAATCAGCTTCATAGTCTGTAACAGCTTTGAAAACTTTTTGTACCTTCACATTTAGTATATATATATATAGTAATATAAATGTGTCGGACATAAAAGACTCAGCTGCTGTTAGCTTTAGTTTTATATAAAACAAAATCTTTTTAATTGTTTGTCATTTTAAAGGGAACATGGGAGTATTGAGCTTTAATATGGAACTTGGTAATTTAAAATAAAAAAAATTGATATAACTTGCTTAGTTTTCCAAGTTTTCCAATAAATACTGAGTATTTATTCTCTTGGTGTTAGCAAACATGTGCTAGTCAAGCAGGTGACTCGTTTCCCGAACAGTTTTATGGCTATTATGTTGGGAGCCCTTGATCAATCAACTTGTCTTATGAATTCTGCACAGGACCAGAGTAGTGTGTATGCATAATACACACAACAGAACTTGTCTGTTCATTTATTGTTTATTTCATTTAGGTTTTGCACAACTGCAATACTCTATAAACCATTTTCTAAAGTCTGAACTCACAATATGTGTCTGATGCCAGACTATGTTTTTGACTGTTGCACCAAGCCCTACTTTACACTTGCAAAATCGGGAGTGATTAAGGTGTTTTTACTGTGTTCATCACCATGGTAGCAAAGTACCTGATGTTTGCTTTAGGCATAAATGAAACCTTTACAGTTTGAATTTCAATCTTTGATGCTTGATTTGTGCTCAGAATGAAAGTGTGTGAAGCAACCATGAAAGGTGCAAGTCTTTTCTTCTTACCCTGTTTTCCTCCTAAGTTTGTGCTCATGAGTTAGTGAAGACTCAGTTAAAGACTTCGGTAAAGGGGACGAGAGTTTAAGAACTTAGTGAGACTTTGGCGTGGTGTTCCATGTTTTGGAACATACCGAAAAACCTTGCATTTTTTCTTCTGCTTGTCTCTTTGGAAGCTATTACTTTGCCCTTTAGCATAATTATGATAAAATTGTACACACTTTATCATGAACACAGCAAGTTTGCTTATCCTAGTTACGTTTTTTAATACTTCATCTTTTCTTGTTAGTTTTCTCACTGTAATCAGCTGAAGTGTCACATTAGAAATAGGCCGTTTTTTATTTTCACTTGTCTTCTGCATCCTGGATGGAAGCTGTTGGGCTTGTAACTGTGGTTGTGCAAATACCACACATGATGTTCTTGCTGTGCTGGTTTGATAAAACTTGTAGTGCAAAAAAGAAAGGGCTTTAAAAGTTTGGGATCTTTTTGAGGGCACAAATGTAATTATCCTCAATGTATTACCTAATTTTTTTTGTGTATCATTACACAAAATAAATTGCATAGCTGTCTGTAAATCTTTTTCTCCAATCTACAACCGTGTGTTTGAGAAATTGATAATTCCATAAGCTAGATAAATTAAGATTTGTATTTCCCACCATATCTTTCTGAAGTACAAATCGCTATGTTTTTGACTGAAAGCCATGTTTGGTAATAGCTGTAGAAGAACTGTACTCATGGGCTACATTTTTGACTGAAAGCCATGTTTGGTAATAGCTGTAGAAGAACTGTACTCATGGGCATGCTGTATTTTAAGAACTTTTAGTCATAAAAGTAATAGTGAAAGACTAAGTTTGTAAGAGACTATAAGTTGTATCTTCCTAATTTGGAAGCTAATTTTGGTGCTTAATTTGGTGTTTAAAAACTGAATTTCATAGCATTAATGTAGACCATCTAACATGCCGTCACCTCTTACTGTAAAAAGTGAGACAGTTATTCCGTAGTAGCCCTTGGAGAGAAGCTGTTGCATCCTGGCACTGGTTTTGTTTAATGCTGCTGCCGGTTTGCTCCTTGTACGAAGAGGAAACTGGGACAGGTGAGGGCTACTACACCTTCTGACAGCTCAGCGTGGTTACTGTGCAGCTTCAGAGAGATGCAAAGTCCTTGAGCCCAGGAAATTGGTCAATGGGGAGAACCCAGGTGCATTTATTCACCCTTTGCAAGGTCTCTTGTCTCTGCTGACAAGAGGTGGAACCTGAAGTGCCTGATGTCCCACCCCTATGGCTGTTTGTGTGAATACCCTTTTATTCTTAGTTTTTCTCCTGGTGAAATAAAGTCACATGGTGGACAAAATGCACTAGATATGTGAGGCAAGGAGAAATGCTCCTGGATATAGTGTAAGGATATTTAGGCTATGCTTTTTCATACTAATCAGTTTAAAGTTACGTTGCTAGCAAGGATTAAAATTTGCTCCATTTCTGATAAATACTTTGCACAACTCGAATTGGTGCCATTTTGGTGCAAACTCTTGAGTGGGAAGTGAAAATGCTCTCCTGCTTTTCATGGGAGACATGAACCACTCTGATCTCTGTATGATGAGATAGGATGAAGCCAAATGAGCAACTGAGTTCACCCCATTTCTTTCAGAGAAGTTTCAACCTTGCTGCACAGCACTGATTAAGCCACAAGGCTGGTAGCTAATGTGATTTCAGATGTACGGCATGTACAACTGCACCTCTGCATGGTAGGCAATTGCTACATTCTGCATATCTGATTTAACTCAAGGTGAACGGAGATAGGAAGGCTAAATATAACCTTTCCAGTGGCATGTTCTTATTTCCCAGCATCTTCTAAAGTGTGAGCAAATTTGTCAGGTGCTGCAATGTAGCTGTGTGCATGGGGAACAGAACATGCAGTGCTCAGCAGGAAGCTGATGAAGGGGGTTGCCTTGCCTCAGTTGCCCCTTGCTTCCAGAGTTCACCAGGCTCTGAAAACCTAAACGTGGCCCCAGGGTCTGCTTGACTTGGGCAAGGCATAGCTGGCATGTTCACCCCTTTCCTCTGGCTTTCATCTTCTTACCTCCCAAGGCACTGCAGATAGCTTTATTTACGGGTGGAGCGTAGTAATAAATTCGTTTTCAAGAAAATCCCTGTGGGCAAAGTATGGCTCCTGAGGCTGTACCTGTGCGGTAAAACGGAGGTGGAGTTGCAAATCAGCAGTTGAGCCCATGCTGTCTTTAGTCTAGCTGGCAGGATGGCAACAGCAGGGAGGGTAGGATTTGCGCCTTCTGTGGACCCTCGGCTTGCATGCTGATGTTGCCCAGCTGTGCTGCTGGCATCTTCTTTGCTACTGTTAACTAGGCTAGTGTCTTTATAGATAACTAATGATATACATAGAATTTATAATCTACCTGCGCTGTAAATTTACTTGGCTTTTTTTTATGTGTGGTGTAATTAAAAAAGGCAGGAAGAGAGGTAGATACTGTTGAGAGGCGCAATGTACTAGGTTCTTGGGATTCCCACATTTTTGGGAATCAGTCCTGGGCGCACACAACCACAGCCTTAGCTCCGTGCTAATGTGACAGACTGAGCACTGAGGACAATGAGTGGTGTGTGTTTGAAAAGAATGTATGAACTCCCTTCTATTTCCTGGATTTTGTGTTTTGAGTTTATCTTTATGGTTCCTTAGCAACCTTATTTGTTTTCACTAAGTGCTTTCTGGGTTTGACTAGGAGGGTTTCCCTCCCCCACTGGCTTGGTTGCAGCTGGGGTGGGTTAGAAAAGAGTGTGAAGGGAAGACATCGCAGGCGTACCCGGTATTGCACGGACTGCTGCATCCCCCAGCCAGGGGAAAAACGGCTGACCATTGCTTTTTTCAGATGCTATCAAACATAAGAAGGGGGGGGTAAGGAGACTAGAGCAGAACTGTTAGAGATGTTTTCATTATTAAAGAGAGGGAAGTGGAAAATGCTAGCTGTGCATAATGTATGTAACATAGCCATACGTATTAATGTGTGTATTACATGTGGTGCAGATAGTTCTCCCGTCTCCAAGCGTAATTTATCTCCTCCTTTTGGACTTTGCTAAAGTGCCTCTAACAGTGCTGACATATCCCAGATGCAATCCAAAGACGTAGCTGAGAAATAGGTCAGTTGTATCAGAAGTCAGGTTTCCTAAAAACGTACAAGGAAAAGAAACATGAGGCCTCTGAACGTGGAGCCTGTGAGGGATTGCCTTCCTAAATGGATGAATGTTCAAAGTGAACGTTGCGGCTAACACTGTACAGGAAGAACAGCTTTGCTGCTCGTGCCATCTATGCAGAAGATAGTGAGGAGGAGCTGGCAAAGACATTTTGGGAATACATAGGGTTTCTGAGGGACCTACCTGACAAGGTTAGGAATTTATTATCTTGGAGGTCACGGTAGGCAGGAGGGGCTTAAGTGCTGAATGGGCAAAGAGATGAGGATAGGCATTGGGAGAGGAAAAATTTACAGGTAATCTGGCATTAAGCCCTATCCTAAATAACGTGGGAATCATCTACTTGGAGCAATCAGTGAACACAGTAGTTGTAAGATGATCAAGAAAGTTTTAAGGTGTCTGTTCCTTGTTTGTTCTTGTTTTCTTCGACTTTCAGTCATAGTCTGTCTACTTGATCATTTTTTTTTTCCTGCTTCTCTAAGATAAGCACAAAGTAATTCAGGGGAAGTAGAGGTAAAGTAGAGGGTTATCTCCTGCCAGGGAGTTGCATACATTTGCCATGTGCTACATTGCCTGCAAAGATCTGAGCAATGCATGATAAACTGGATTTTTTTACATATACAGTGCTGCAATGCAAAGTAAAATGAATTTAAAAATCTACCTCCCTCTTCCCTAATGTTAATGTGTACTCCATGGAGAAGGCAGTGCTTCAGCACGTGCAGTGAAAGGGCCTTCACTTAAGGCTGAGCCCTGTATGATCAATTCTAAGGCTGCTTTAGGTGCTGGCGTTATTTCTCCCCTTTTTAAATCTGCAAAATTAAACCATTGATCACTGCTGCTGGCCTCTAGGCAGGAGAATTACTGATGCTGCTTTATGCTCCGGAATTACTGCTGCAGCAGTGACTATGTATGTTAGCCATAGATAGGCGCACACTGGGGCCTAATATCAGCTGTTGCCAAAAGGTAGTTTAAAAGCCTCTTCCCTCTCTGCCTGTTTTTCACATAAAGGCGTGTTCCTTGTACTAAGCCAGGGTTCCTGTTTTCTTAATCCAAAAAAGTCCATAAGTAGTTACATCTTTTCAGTTTTGGTTGCAAGTTGCTAATGTTTTTCCCCAGTGGAAATTGAGCTCCCTGGCTCAGAAGTTGCTCTCTCCTCTGGGGGGAGGTGAGGGCGGGAATGCAGAAATGAGGTAGAATAAAAGATTCAGGCAAAATGTCTCCTCTCTCCCCTGGTGTGTCATGCTCTTGTGTGTGACAGAAACTAGTCCCAATGCAACAGAGAAACATAAGTTATTTAGCAGTATA